TAATGTAATAATTGCGCAACAGCATTGTTTTGTAGCATCTATAGCAATTATAGCATCAGTTGTTTTTTAGATTATAGAATACAATTTTTAAAAGTATAAGTATATGCATAAAAATGCAATCGAAGGAATTTTAAACTTTCTTAAACTTTAACACTGATTTTCTCTAAATGTCACTTTTTGAATTTCCAATTTTGACTAAAAATTTAGTTGAGATAATTTACCTTTCTTAACTTTTGTAATTTATTCAGTAACACACACAAATGTATTCAAAATGAAGTCGACAAAGTCGACTCTTTTATTTATGGTGCAGATATGAACCTCGTATTTTTCCATGCTGTTAATTTCATATACAATTTCATTTACATAGCGAGAGTAAAATTTCAGATGTTGAATCAAAGCTTGTAAGTCTTGAATTAATAAGAAAGGACGAAAAATCATCATAAAACATTCTGTTTAATATTTGTGTATGCGGAGTTATAATAACGTAATGGTATATTAATAACATATTAATATTAATGTAAACTTATACGTAATTGAAAAAAATATATCTCGAAAGAGAGTATTCATTTTATATGAAATTATATCGGCGTCTGACCACACGTTTACTCCATCACTTAACCGGCGGCTGATTGATGAAAAATCGTGCTTCGAATGTTTGTATCTCTGAGAACTCTGAAAGACTCGCGTATTTACTGTTTCCCGCAGGTCTGGCTAAAGAGAAATGACTCGGAAAGAAAAAAATATGTGCCTAAATAAGAGGAAAAAGTGTTTAGAACTCAGTAAATTGATGTTACGATATGATACACAACATAATCGCACTCACGCTGAAAAAAGACGCACTATATAATCAGCTGATAGCGATCACTTTGTATTTTTTTCATCACAAACCCAAGGAATCTTCGTTAAGTTTATTGCGGATAAAATATTAACACAAATACTCAATATAATTTTAAATTGTAGTGAGATTCGATAAAAAATTATAACTCGAAATTTGCGCAGCAAATACTTATTCATTTGTCTTTAAAACTTGTAAATTAGTATATTAATAAAATTATTTTATTATATATTTATATGTTTATAAACAATAAATTGTAATAAAGCGTCACGCGAATAATTAGGGATTAAAATGTGTCGCGTGCGACTTGATCTTGGGTCTACTACAATTAACGTAAAAAATGTCAAATTATGACTATATCAGGAAGAATATCGCGTGAGATTGTGACGAGAAAGATATAATAACAGTTTTGCGTGCAGATAAAAAAGATTCTAATGAAAAAGAGATAAGTGACTTTACTCGATTAGTCGAGAACAAATTCTCAAGTCACTTTGTTATTTGCTGTCACTTTGCGCGAAAGGTGATCTGTTTGGGTAAATAATTATTTTCAAGCTTCCGCAATTGTAATTACGATATTTAAGCCATTTGTCTTATAACGACCGTATAGTTTCCCGAATAGAAATTTGTTCACGCTTTCTCAATAATTCAAGCTTTCTATCGAATGGAACTTTCCACGTATCTAGGAAGCTTCCGAATATCGGCAGAAACATATATCAAGTTTCCAGAATTTCCAGAGCAAAGCATCGGTTATTATCTTCTATAAAGTGTTACAAGGAGTTACATGAGCAAATAATTATCAGATTGAATTTTAATTTTATTAATTGAAAGTTATGCTAATTTTACTTAACTAAAAATCAAACCAGAAAAAGTTGAGAAATAAAAATAAGATTCAAATTTAAATTTAGAATTTTTTAAAACGTGTACAATTCTTAACTTAGTTATCTCTCTACTACTTTTAACTTTAAGACTTGCCAAAGAAAGTCAGAAACTAGGCTACGCTATATCCCTTTATACGATATATGATAACATGCTTCCTTAATGATACTCGATAAAAAAATTATATTACTTTTTAAACTAAAGCATTTTCCATAAATTTATTAAAAGTTGTTTAAAATTATGTAAACATTAGAAACACGAGACATACTAGAAATACATTAGAAATATAAAAAAAAAATTTAAATAATTTACTTGTACATAAGTCTAATTTGCTAAATTTAGAAATAAGTATTAATAAGCTGTGATTGCTTTAACTGTTGTTGCTTCTTAATTCTAATCTTTGGTAAATATAGGTAAAAAATACAGTTTTGTTACACCGCTTACAACGATTTAGAAATTATTTTTTTGAATGTTACTGTAGAAAGCAAATGTAAGAATAGAAATTCAAAAATATATTCCGCAAAATATATTAACTATAAAATAGAAAGATAGAAAAACGAGAGATATTTAAGTACTTCATATATTTACGGCGCACTAGAAAGTTTTCAACATTTAGAATGTTTTTCAAAAATACCACTCTCGATACATATGACAAACGCTAAAAATACAATCTATACGACGTTTCCATTTATCCCTTAGTAAATATATATATTTCATCTCTATTAAAAGAATTTTTTTAAACTTTGTGTATTTATTGAACAATATGATATTGAGCAACAACATTTTAAATAACGATCCTCTCTTTTATTATTACGAAAATTTAAAGTTACATAGATTTGTTGATGACAGTAATAGTCTCTCGTTGTATAGTTGTCAAATCATTTTGCGTTTGTGTCTTTGTCAATTTTAATCTCCGTTGTGAGTTTCGCGTCGTCGATTATTGATGTAAAATGACGGGCGAAATGCAAGCGTCGGTCAGCCTTTCGCAACGGATTATTCATGTATCGTGTATATGTATGTATGTATATATGCATACATATGAACGCTGGAGGCCGGGAGCCGGATGAGATATGTATATACGCAGCCCTTTTAAATTATTTTAACATTACCGTCACGTATTATCTTCGCTTGTTAGCTTTATTCGCTTCATTCGCCTAACTAGGAATTTCGCGCAAAATATTACCTGTTTTATCAAGTTTTGGCCGCTAGCTCAATTTCCTGTAATCAGGTGTCCAGATATATCCTAATAAAACTCTAGGACCGACCCGGAAAAATTGTGGGCAGAGTTTTATTAGGTAATTTGAAAATATGGACCCTTTTTTATTAACTATAAATAAATAAAATGATGTGTTTTTTTTTTAAAAAACAAGATCCTTCTTATAAAAATTTTACGCTGTTTCTAATTTAATTTATTATCTGTTTTAATTTTATTTTTTAATATAAATTAAATGTAATATTGATAATATAAGGGCACCATTTATTGACTTGCTTCGTTGTAATAATCTTTTTTGTTATTATGCTAATCTTCAACTTGTCTGTATTTATAAAGGGAAATGTTCAACTCTCTTTCTTTTTTAATCTTTTTATTAAGGGACATTTATTTTTCCTTGTAAAAGATATATAATGTTATTGCAAATAATCGATATTTTCACAAGCTAGCTATATAATAATATATAAAATATAAAATATTATTTTAGCACAAATTGAAATGGAAATATTAATTTAAACAATTGTTATTTTTGTTTATATTTTAATTATTTGCAAACAAAAGTTATTAAATTGATACTCCATGATAAAACTGAAATATTATAAATGCAATTTTATTTTTTGTTTATATTTTATGTTTTTCTTACGATTTATAAAATAATTTCTACTTTTACATTATTTAAAATGACAAAATGTATGCTTAATCTCTGTCTTGTGGCGGAATGCATTTTCAATTCTAGTATTATTATGCAGGATTAGTTTCGGGAGTTATAGTTTGCGCTTTTAGCAAAATTTTATAAATATGTGTTTCCATTAGGATTCTAAATAAGAATAGTTGTTGCTTTAAAAACTAACAGACATTTTACAAATCTTTTAAGAGATTTTAATTTTACAGCTTGTAATACTTTTCTCAGTATTTGTTATATACTCTACATTTGTTACATACGCTGCATTATGCAATGGGATAATATGCACTATCATATAATACATTTTTTTTTAATAAAAAATTTATTGATTTGAAGATCTCTTCGTATTAGAGAATATTTTGACAACTATTAACTTTTTATATTAAAATGATTTGTTGTAAATAATGTAATTGATAATCTTAAATTACAATTTTGTTAAAATAAAATTGAATAATGCTTAATTCTCGAAAAGCAATTTTAACTGATGAAGAGATATTAATATAGTGATATCGAAAAAAGAGACATCAAAGGAGAATCAAATAAAATTTCAAGAATAATATGAGTTTTTACGAGAATAATATAAGATAAATATAATATTTTTTATATTTAATATTTTATAAATTTTTATTTTATAACTATTTTTGTGAGAATATTAAAATTTATGAGAGAAAGTATAATTCTTTTATAAGAATCTTTAAATATAACTCATAGAAGAGATTGTTCTTAGATTAGAATTAGTCATTCATTATAAATATTTAGTACCTTTCAGAAATTTTTATGATTTGTGACGGTAATTAATACGTGAGTACGAAGTTGAAACGTCGCAAAATAGAAATTCTAATTATTTCGTGAAATCACATGAAATGTATGTTACAGAATCTGTTAAATTGAGCGGGGTTGTTTCCTGTGACAGTTAATTAGTTCGGAGTTTGAACATGACTGTCATGTGAGAATATGTGGGAAATGGACACGATATGACTAATAAGTGTCGCATGACGTCTTTAATGGTCTTCATGTTCTCTCTTTGTATTTTAATTAAATCATGATTATATTTGTAAGACACACAAACAAATTTTTTAGTCACAAGTTTTTGCATTTGCAGAGTATAAAATGTATATTCAAGACTACTTTTTTTTCTTTAATTATTATAATTACTATACTATATATATATTTGATAAAAAATTATATATTCATAATACAAAAATATAAATAACGTAACTTAAGGATTTATTTAATTTCTTTATTATTTAGAATTTACTATAAATTTAGTTCCCATAATATTTCTATATTTTAGCACGCTTATATATCAACTGATTAGTTAGATTTAGTTCTGTCCATTAAATATGTACTTTTAATTTAAATTTTGTAAAGATATTTTTTTTTCAATGTTCACTTACGTGTTGCTTTTTTCCGCAAAACTATTCTCGTGACGACGAATCACTGTCTAACTCTTTGATTTCTCACTAATACAATAGTATCGAAAAGTCAGGTGTGAACAACGGATGCTGCGTCACGATAGAAGCAACGAAAAGCTTGACCGAGATTCATGCTACGAGAAGCAGCATGCTACTGGCCGAATCATCCCCCGTTTCGCGAGACAACCCCATTATTAGGTCGACAGCAGCGCAGCCACATGGAGGGTTGGATCACTATTACAAGCTCTAGTTGGCATGTATTCGAACTTGCTGATTTGGAAACTGCTTGAAATCATCTTGAGATTGCAATACATTTTTTTTCTCATTACTCATTCGCTCGTAATATTAAAATATGATACACAAGTGCAGTTAAAGCAATTAGTTGCACAAATTTAAAAGCTCTCGCCATTAAGGTAACGATGATATAATTGCACTCGTAATTTTTTCATATTTTGGAATTTTAATGTTTCTTAAAATATTTTTTCTCTCACTTCTTTTTAATTATTATTTTTAACACGTTTATTATTAAATGCTATTTATTATATGTATATGCAATTACATTATGTTTTCATTTTATTTGAATCATTTTTTAAATGTTTGGTAATAAACTAAATAGAACCTTAAAGAAACATAATATTTGACTAATTGTGGAATTGAAGATTATATTTATACATAATAATTAAGTTTATACATTTAGTTTATAAAGCAAGAAGAGACATAAAAGTATGCCACTTGTACCTGTAGAATCCTGGATTTTTATCTGGAAAAAATAAAACAATGTCGGTGTGTATCTATCGTATTCGTATTTTTTTTTGGTGTATTGATCTTTTGTATCTGCACAATTTACGACGCATATTTTGACTGTTACTATCGAACTATACTAACACTAGAATAAAGCTAGAATCTTCCTATAAATGTATAGTGATTTTTCAAAATCCGCTAAAATTTGGTAATAAAATAAACAAGTTTATTTAGTATTAATATAAATTTTACGTTAATAATATATGGCGACGACAATTTTCGTCTTTGTCTATTAATATACAGTATAATTATATTACAAATTTATTATTCGTGATCTTATTAACGTTGAAATATCGTGATACATCCGATATCACGTTAATTGAATCTTTCGTAATAACATTTAAATGAAGAATTACATAATATTGCGTGATAATCAATTTGCCTTATACGTTTGCGCATATTATTTCTAATGTTCTTTCTCTTTAATTGTTTGTAAGATATAAATTAAATATTTATATTCCAAAATAGCTTTACATAGCAAGATAAAATAAATGTTATCAATAAAAATCAGAATTTTAATATAGTAATTTTGATATCAAATAGCAAAGCATTATTTAACTATTTAGGAAAAAACTTCGGTACGTGAATATGGCTACTTTTGAGAAGATATAAAAACGCATTTATTTTGAAAATATAAAATTTGCAATTCTCTCATGCTAAGCAAATATTATTTCATAATGTATGTACGAATCAAATATGGAATGCGTGGGGAGACGAACAAACAATTCTAATTAATCCTGGAATTTCGCCATCGGAATTTCAAGGGAACTGAGAATAATATGAGGTAAATTTCTCGAGAATTTATTGTAATTTGTTACACTGCCGCGCGGGTCTTTTCTAAATGCACTGAAATTTAATTTTGCTATGTTTCCAGCGCTAATTAAATGTATATCATTTAGCTCTTGTTTATTCAATTTACGCGTAGTGTACAATTTAGCAAAATAAATAGTTTTTAATTAGTTTATTAGGAAGACTAAATATTTTAAATACTGTGCAAGATATATTTAAATTCAAATCACTTTCTCTTTTTAGCAAAAACTTTCTTGAACCCTTTTCTAGTTTCTCAATTGTATAGAGAACAGAGTAAAAATTATTCTAAAATTAAAATTACATTCTGTAAAATTTATTTGAAGTTAGATAACGAAAAATCTTTCATCGCATATTAAAATGGTTAATATTACAACTTAATTTTGTAAAAGATTTTTTATTGTTTAAAACTCAAGAAATCTTTCAAACATTGCTTAAAAATAAATTATTAAATTAAAATAAATTTTTAACAATTTATAAAATATACATATACAAATATTAATTTGGTTTACGAAACTGTAACTATATATATCATATTTAAGCAATGTTGGAAAGGTTAAAATGAACTTTTGGGCATTGGTGCACACGTGTGCTATAAAGTATCTGCTTATCTTTGGTCGGAAAGGAGTAAAGGTCAAAACTAATATTTACTACGAGGATTGGTTTTTTACGAAGAGAGAGATATACGGAAAATATATTGTAAGTACTTTATAGTACGTGCACCAAAATCCAAAAGATCATTCAATCTTATCATCTACTCCGATTTGTATTATTTTTCTAAAATAATAAGCCAAGCATTATTTTTCATAAAAGTATTAATTGTATATTCTATGAGAGAATTGTTATTAACCATTTTTTTTGTTTATATATACACATTATTTGATTAAAATTATTGTTTTCGTTAATGATAAAACTTTCAAAATCTTTAACTTAGCCATTGCAATTTTTAATTTGGCGAAATATATTTCTTTAAAGAATATTATAATGCAACATCAATGTTATTAAAATACGCGGACATGATGCGCAAAATTTCACGCGTTTCTCTAAAATTGTTTTAGCGCAATTTTTCGTCGTGGAATTAATTTATATAAAATTAAATTTTTTGCACGTTAAATTTTGTAAAATAAAAAGCTTTATTGCTTTATGTAAAATTGTATTTATGTAAAAACGTACTTAATCTAATAATAATTAAATAATTTTCGCTGTTGGTCAAAGCTTTGAACGATGCGGATAATATAATTATTCTGAAACAAGGACAAAATGTATAATATATACTGATATACATATACTGATCACGATAAATAATACTTTGCAATATATTTTGCTTCTTCTCGTGCAGTTATATATCATTGCAAAATATGCCCGTGAGATTGTGTAAGTTCAATTCTTGCAGGCTGACATAGCAAATGATTTATAGCCAAAGCGTGCAGGTATACAAGGGTAGTAGCACTTACAATAGAAAAAGCTATTCTTAAATTAAATAAAGCTAGATTTAGCTTTAGAAATTTTTATAGAAATAAAATAATTATATATACTAAAAATAGGTCTTAAAAAATAAGTTTCAATTTATTCAGTTTCAAATCATATATTATCCTTAAATTGCATTGCAAATTGCAAACACACATTACATATAGATATTACAAAAATAATTTATCACGCAAAAATATATGAGCAGAAAATCATTTCTTCTTATGCTATAAATGTGTATATATTTGTATTTATGTTTTAATATTTGTTTATTCTGTATATATATATATATATATATATATATATATATATATACATTTTTGTTAGTTTGAACATTTTTGTTGTTACATCACTGTTATATTATTATAATGATGCAATAATAATATTTGCAACATTTAATTTATTATAAAATAAAAATTTGTCATTGCTTATATAAAATTTGATTTTGGTAAGAAATATATTTAATATTATTTCATACGTGCTTCGTCCTATTGAATTCGCAGAGATGTTACGTATTGTGAAAGATGATTGAAATTGTAAACCCAATTTATCCATTTTCCTTTTTCGCCGGTTTCTTATGGTAATCGTTGGTATGTGTAAAAGGAAACATTTGTATGTATCCTTGGATCTATACGACATTTCACTATTGCAGAGCTTAGTACATGTAGATTTTTAAGATGATGCACAAAAGATTGCATATCTGAAGCGAATATTTTCGTGAAAGGAGAGTTTCTCGAAAAATTCGAATTGAAAAATTCTCAAGTATTTCTCTCTATCTGTTTGCTTTTAACACAGAAAAGATTAATTATGTTACATAAATTCTAAAATTTTGAGCTATTTTGATTAACGCACATGTGTATCTGTGTAATTATATTATTGTTTGATGATAGTTGCTAAACGTTTTTTACATGTAATTGTACAAAAGTTAACGTTTGTAATTTCCACTTCTAGTTACAATAAATCGTAATTCACAATTTATATTTCTGCATATACAAAAGTTGTTATCTTGTTTCGTGAAGTTTCGAATTTCGGAAATATTTATTACCATACGTTATTACCATAACGTCAGTTAAATGAGCCAGTTAGCCGCAACAAAGGAATATGAGAGTAAGCTTTGTATAACTAATTATATGTATGTGTATCTCGAATGACACACACACACACGCATGCGCACACGCATACATACATACATGATTGTTTCGCAGAACTACTTCACTGGTACATTCATGGAGAAAACTGATCATTTCATTATACTACCATCAATATCAAAGACTATTGAAATGTAATTAACCACCTGTTAATACATATATGCAAATTCTCATAAATAAAATACAGTCGTTGTAAACATATAGCAAATTCCCATAAATAAATTGTAATTGCTGCTAATACATCATATTCTTAGAGTGTAAGAAGAAAATAGTAGATATTAAACAGAATTAATTTATTCGAAAAATGTGATTGCGTGAGCTTGCATAAATGTTAATTTAAATATTTAAATATATTTGTGAATATTGAGTTAACTATTCATAATAAATAATTGTTGAAGTATTTCGAATTTCGCTTAATTAAATAGTAGTCGATAATTTAGTATTTAATAACATAATATATATATATATATATATATATATATATAAGAAAACTGACTATTATACTTTTTGTAGTTAGCATTGTCCACTTTAGGTATAAATTGGATAATGAATATCTATTGGTTCTATCTTGTCGCTGGTTCTATCTTGATCGCCTTTATATTGTAGGATATTTTTTGTGGCCGACTTTACCGCATCGTACTGAAATAGAATTGAGTATGCTAATGAAGCGAATTTAACGTTTAATAAAATTCCGAATTTTACGGCACTACTTACGGTTTTACGATTGTAGATTTCGTTGTAAATTCTCGGTCCGTTTCTGCGGTAGGCTGGAATTTGCTCGCTGCCGTGCAGAATCAGTGTAAATTCTCCAATTGTGCCATAATTTTGCTTCGAGTCTGTCTGCAAGCATGCAAATATGCATCATCAAATACACGTGACAAATGCAACGTGACTGATGTACAATTCATGATTGGCGATATGCAGAAAGGTAATTTCAATCAATAAATATTTGCTTAATCAACTGCATTAAATATTTCCGTAATCTACATTTTTGGAAATTTGATGAAATTGAGAGATATGGCGTATGATGTACTTCGATATGATATTATGTTTCAAGAAAAGCGGCTTTAAAAATTTGCAATATTTTTATTTATATGTAAATTTATTCATACGAATACATATTGTGTCAGATTTTTATTTATGGGTTGTGATTTCAAACATATAATGACAAAGAGAGAAAAAATTCTTTTATCTTTATAATAACTTTGCATCCAATCTTCCTTGAATTCATTTTTATTACAACCATTAAATATGTGCACATATATAAATATTTTAAGTAGCATATCTATACTTTATAAAACACTTTTATTAATAAAAATTCATATAAGTATTGATTTTAAAAGGAACAATCAAATATTACATATATTGCAATTAAAGTTATATTTCTTATTTTTTATTATTTAATAAAATATTTCATTATTTTTGAAAAGTAACAAAATTTTAATTATAAATTTGTAGTTAAATCTTTCTTTTGCAATATATGTATTAATATATTATAATATGACGATAATAGCAAAATCTGTTATTAGATCTGCGGTAAGATGATTCCAATGTCTCACTTTATCAAATATGTGCAAGATCCATATTCCTCGAGGGTCTTCGCCCCACGTCGCGACGGACATGAACTTCCACTTTCTAAAACCATCCTTAGATTCATCCAACTTTCTTGCACTTAGTATCTTTACTAAAGTACCTAAGAAATGAAACACATGGCTTCAATATTACAAATAAATTATGTATAAATATATATATATATATACATAAAAATGTATATGTATATACTGCTTTATAGTATTTTATTATGTTAAAAGATAAAGGATTGTACATGCGATGTATCGTGATGTATTTTGTTAATGTGAAAGTGTTAAGTTAAATTTGATTTATGTAAAGAGTGTATGTATATGCATAGCATATATTTTAGTTTGGATAACTAAACATTATCGGTTGTGTATAACGTGCGAATATTAATTGCGGCTATGTACGAGTGTTATCGATTTTTTTCTTGCAAGCATGCGTAGCAAGCATGTAACTATGAATAATATTATATGCACATACATACGACCTAGTTAGTATTAGATTTTGCAATGCAGAACCTTATGTGTTTGTCTTTCAAAATTTATGTGATAATAATAAAAATTACTTTATTATAATAAATTTTAATTACGAGATTGGTAGATTAATATTTAATAAATAATAATAATTGCAATATATAACATATAAGATATGTATAAATAATACTACCCATATATCATATTTTTGTCTTACAAAAAATTAAAAGGGGTTTGAAATCTTGATATTAATATTTATACTGGTTTTAAAGAAATGAGGAAAAAAAACAAGAGCTGATATCTTTATTAAAGAGTAACTTTGAAGTTTTAGTAGAATATGTGGTAATTTTTAAAATTCTCAGTATTATTTTATTTTGGATGCATCTGGATATTTTTATTTATTTTTTTACGTTTCAATATATTGGGATTTTTTTATATTTTGATAATATCATCTGTCAATAATAACGCCAATCAATAAACATGCACAAGATTAAAACGCGACGCATTGACTAAAGTGATTGCAATCTACTCGTTCGTATTCACGTTTGAAACATTTATGTATTTAAAGCCAAATTTTTTTTCTTTGACATTTATTACACATTTATAATTATCGTATATTGTAATGTATAATTATATAATATTTTTAAAGCGTGGCAACATTCGATAAGTTTTATATTTATAAACAAATTATATATAATAAATATATTTTATTTCCACTGAATCTTCTGTTCTTTTCCGAATAAACAGATTGCATCGCAAGGAGTATTAAATTGAATTTCCACTGATAATTGGATCAAGAACGTATTCGTGCAGTTAAATGCATTTGCGACACAGAAACGTGACTTCCAATATTAATGAAGATATTAATTCTGTTTGAATTATACGTTCATTTTTTGCTGTTCTTTCTTATTAGGATTGCATTATCTCAAACTGAGCAAAACTTATGACTGATAAGAACGATTGAAAAATAATATAAAGACGTATTAAATTGGATAATATTAATTTATCAGAAGTTTTTCTAAAAAAATTTGTCAATTTACTTTGTTAAAAATTTATTATGGAAAGTATTATTATTTCTTTTTTATATTACATTAGGCATAACTTTTGAAAAAAAATCGATAACAATTTAGTTATTAATAATATTAACATTTTTTATTATTTTTATTTTCTTTGTATTTTTTAATGTTTTATTTATTCGTTTTGTTATAAAAGAGTTGTTCTTTCCTTCATAAATTAAAATACAGCAGCAAATAGAACTCAATATATTTGGTTGGCAAGCGGATTGCAGCTAAATGCATTTGCATTTAGTCTTCGAGAATATTCCCAGAGACTTCAGCGCTGATATAATTATAGAGCATTTTCTTTGTATGATATTTTTAAAGATCTCTTAAGTCTCTTAGCTCAGGATGTAAAATGACGCATTTCGATGGTCCTCATAACTATTCTCTCGTCTTTCCGTTCTTTTCATTTCTACAAATCGGATACAAATAGCGTTTCCAGACATGCATTTAAATGAAACATAACTGCTCAAGAACTGTTTGTGCGACTTTATGCATAAAAGTTTGATTAAAGTTTTAAAATGTTGTTTATATTATTATTTCTACACATTTACTATCAGAAGCTTAAGAATACGTACACGAGAAAAATTGTATTTTCTCGCATACGTGCGAATCTATTTATTAATTAATATACGTAGAAAGAATTGTGAATGTATGATGAATAATTGGAAAATGAAAAATGTATACCCTGTGGTGAACGCAGATGCATTTGGAGTGCGCCGCGATGAGAGTACTCGAGATTCACCTCGATCTCCACGTGCTCCAAAAAGATAATTTCACTCCCCAATGTCCGACAAACGTTACCTCTGACATCGAACATCAGATACTTGTCATTTTCAGTCGATATGAAGTCATTGATGCTGCAACGCAAAAACACATGTGCAGAAATTGCTATACATTTATGCATATGTAGTATGTTTATGCATTAAGCGTTGAAAATTAACATTTTTCGAAATGTTGAAATTGTTACATATGTATTTTTCAAAAATCGCTAGATTACATGAAAAATTTTGCTTTGATATTTTACAATGCATATAGTTGCAAAATCTGCCTATCTATATTTGTATGCAATTTCTATTTTTATCTCCAAAATGTAAAATAAGCAATATATTACAAATTGTTTTTTATATTTCATAGATTATTATAAATATAAATATTAATTTATATAAATTATAAATATTAATTTTGTCTATTGTAATTCATTTTTTTCAGTATAAATGTAACAATAAACGCGCGATTAAATTTTATGTGTACGTGGAAAGTTACAAATATGAGAATAATTAATATTTAGTATCATAGAATATATAAGAAGAAATTAATAAAGCTGACTTCGCTTCGTGAGCATTATAGTCAAATTATGAACATAATCGCAGACGTGACTCGATGCAAAGTGAAACACGCAGAGATGTGAAACTGGGTGAATCTTCAAAGTATGTACATATGTACTTAAATTGCAGTAACCGAGAGGAGAACTATGTAACGAGATGAGCATGCATTTTCGGCTAACTACACTAGAAGCTATTTTATATGAAACGATCATATTCGTATCTTTAATCTATCTAACAAGAATTTCGTTCTGTTTTCCCGGATGTCGAATAAACTGTCCTTTCAAGAGCGTACTTCGAAAAAAGTCCTCAATCGTTAGATGCACCGTTTTCTCGCCTCTTCCGTGCTATCGTAACGAATGAAGACTTTTACGACCTTGTTGAATTTAACGATGCATTTCTTATCTCGCGCTTCTTCGAGCATCCGGAAATACCTCTTTGAAAAAGGAGGTCATCGTGCTCGATTGACATGAAGTCCGAAGAATCGGGTTAAGTAAAGAGCCTTTTAATACTTATAGAACACACAAAATAAAATATTTTGTGTAAATCTACGGCTAAATATCGTAGGAAAAAGAAAATATAACATAATACATATAATTGTTAATATTCTATTTAAATAAAATATAAATTAAATAAAAATATAATTTTGCAAATATTTGTGACACAGAATGAAAATTGAAAAAAGTTGTAGACCATTTTATTTTCAATTACTCTAATCATGCATACATATTTGAACCTAATATTGCGTTGAATTGCAAAAGCATTTAGCATAGATAATTTTAACCGTATTATCTACTTTGTCTCGATAGAAAGTTTGCGTGCTACGTAATTAAGCTCCAACGTTCTAAATCCGCTAATTTACTTACCCGTACACTTCGCCAGTCACTTCGCAAATAGTCTTCTCTGGTACTGTCGTCCAGTAGTAACCTGCCATTGCCAGTGCTTCTCCGTTCATAAGTCCAAATCCGAAAGCCGGGTTAAACCAAAATCCAGCTGCATTTTTGAACCATCCCGGATTTTTGCTGAAAATTTTATGATGTAATTATTAAAAACTCTCTCACCTCGCGCGCGCATAAAAAATTACTTCTCATGAATGCGTGAAAGCAATAAGAAAGTGACAAGTATCAAGGAGAGAAAAATGATTCTTTTTACACTGGAAGTAACACGATGTTTGCGCCATTATTGAAATTCTGTAAAATGATGTGCTAAGTGGATTTTTGGAGTATTAAAACTGATATTCACTCTATGTAGAATGAAAATCGATTGTCTTTAAGTATTAATTATCAAATGTAACTTATTTGTATAAAATATGATCTCACAATTAATATTCTCGTGACGTGAACATAATACCTTCTTGTACAAGCGATTACGATCGCTTTTATAATTTGAGACGATAATAAAAAGCAATTAGTACGAAATATAAATTACGAAGTAGAGCAATAACGAATTGAAATATGCAGGGCCATCTGGGTACACGTATTTTTAGTATTTATGATTAAATAACCATTTTTCCGCTGCATTGTGCATGCGTAACCTATTTTCTTTAACATTTATTCAGTAAAAGTTATACATATATACACACACACATATATATATATATATATATATCATTACAAGAAATAATTTAGGTGTGACCTGTTTAAATTTGCAAAAAATATAACCATAATTTAAAATACATATTTGGATATCTTAAAATATCGAAAAATTGATTTGAATTTTCGAAGTGAATAAAGATGCTTTTAAAGAGACAATTATGCGTTCAAATTGTTATCACTCAATCGTGTCGCTTCGTAAATTTTCATGAACTTAATTGTTAATTATAATTGATTGCATTGAGAATTTTTTTTTTTAATAATATTTTTAGATCGTGAAAAATCATTTCCTGTGCGCTTTATTTAATTTATGATTTTTCAATGTAAAAGTGACGTTGCAATCTGTTGAGTTAAAGTGAGAATAAAAATTGAAGCTGACACAATTGCAGATACACGTGACCTGAATTGCTATTCGCGAAATGCTCACCTGAGAGGACTGTACTCCGATGACCAAGCTATCAAATGCTGAATGTCTCTCCACGTTAAGTCTTCGCTGTAAAAATAAAAGAAGTCGTTAGTACGAACTTTGATTAGAATATTGATAATTTCTTACTAAAATAACATCTTTATTTCGGTCGTGGGTTAATCGAGGATAAATTGAAACTCAATATACGGTGACCTCCAAAGAGCGGACATGTATCGAACATTTCACGCGATCGTACTTAAAATGTGATGAAGACCAAGAAAAATCGGAGAAGAGAATATTGCAATATGCAGATTTTCAGACATCTTTCATTTCAGGAACAGTTGCCTAAAATAATTTTCTTTTCTTAAATATTAAAATTGTAATTTGACATATAAGTTCTTTTATTTCCTGATGATATAATTCATTGTTTAAGAGGATTATATTTAATGTTTTGGAAGATTATATATTTCTAAAGGCTAACTTTGATATAAGAAATTGTATAATAAAGATGTAATTTAAATTATCTATGAAATACGCGTACATAACTTTATTGTAATATATATTTACTTGGCTTATATTTATCTTTTATATATATTCTCTCTCTCTCTCTTTCCCTCTCTTTCTCTTAATATTTTTATAATTATATATTAATTAGAAGAGTGGAACATTTGCGGAAAGAGAAAGTTTCGAGTAATATAGTAGCAGTAAAATGAAATATACCATTTTATCATATAATAAAAAATAAATATAACTAGTAACGTAATCAAATTACTGTTTTCTCGTTTCTCAAAGAAAAGTTTAATAGAAAAATACTATTGCTATACTGACTGATTGTGAGTATGTTCGTACTTTACTTGTAGCGCGAGAGCTAATATTCCGGCGGCCAATGGAGCAGAAGCTGAAGTACCTGTATGCTTGGTCGTGCAGGTATTCTTTAGATCTGTCGTTACCTGGAAAACATAAATAAAAGCTACTAAATTATTCGGTATTCTCCGTAAGACGGATCTTCTCTCTTCGTGGATACTACTCATTCAATCTCAGAGGGGAAGAACCGACAGTAAGTCTGAAATATCGCGTTTAAGTAGAGATTAAAGTAGATTATTCCGAGTAAAATATCGTAACACTTTAATCATAAATTACATTTATGATTTGAACATTAAAATATCTTTTATTTTTCTGGATAAATTGAACAGATTGAAATATAAAATTATATATGATATTTATACAGCGCACATTTTGTAAATATATTACATATTCAAATAAAGAAAGCTTTGAAAAAATGTTGTCAATATTGTTGTTTAATATCAATATCTATTAAATTTAATAAATATAATAAATAAATAAATAAAAATAAATGCAATACTTACTATTTTGTGATTGTACCTTCTGCTGCTGCTGATTGTTACAGCGAGAATAGCAGGACATTTCTCTCCGTACCAAGGAAGTTCTCCAGTTTGGCTAATTGATCCAACGGCTATGGTGTATATGCTTCCAACATATCCGTCATATCCGCAGTCGTCCGAATTGCCACCATTCCCAGCGGCCCATACATAAATGTTACCTTTACCGTTACGACCCTGTCACGTATTCGAGTATCAATATTGCCTCACGTAATATCAAGTAAATGATGATTTATTCACGAGATGATGAAACTTTCACGTTATATATCAGATTATATAATAAAAATGTTATATTTGCAAATCATAAAAAGTGCTGGAAAAATCTGTTGAAAGATAAAAGCCTGAAAAGAAAGGTAAAGAAGAAAAATGTGTGCAAATTATATATACATATATGTGTATATATATATATATATATATATATATATATATATATATAATATATATTAAAATTTCTATATTTTATGCAAATTATAATTTTATGAAAGACACAGTGTTGTGTGTGAGTGTTGTTTTATGCATAAAAATGACTCATAATATATTGTATATAAATATGCAAGGAGATCTTGTCTTTCTTTTTCAGGCTAATGTTAAACTCGCTTCTCATTTATATTTAATCCTCGGAAGAAATGAGAAAAGAAGAGACACTTCATAAGAGCGTCTTGCTAACATCTCTTTGAAGCCAGGGTTAGCATTTGCGACGATAATATTAAAAGTCGGCACACTTTCGTAATCGTATAAAATAGACTTACTAAGACAAAGTCTGTAATAAAAATCAGGGCGCATAAAGAAAGATCATAGCATGACCGAGTTTCAACTCGCTATTGCAGCTAAGTTAAGTAAGTCATTCCCCAATTTTTCCTTTACACTTCTTAATTCTTACTAATTTCGGTGAAATTAAATTTTCAAACGCAAATTGTACAACCGCGAATTTATTAATGAGTAAAAATAAATTTGATTATTACGAGTCATTTGTTTTGCTGAGCATATGTGAATGATTGTGACATATGTGCAATTTATAGATAGTATTGTGAATTTGGCAGTAAATAAAAAAGTAAAAGAGAGACAAAAGCTTTTAGGATTGTCTGCTGTCTGAAAAAGCGATCAATAAGCAACGAATCGCCATGGGAAACGTAGTTAAAGTTTAATTAGGCTTAAATAAGCTTAGTCTCGGTGTTGTGTAAAAGCTTGTTTAAATATTAAATCACTAAAAACCCTGTTCCATGTTAAAGTCAATCCATTCAATCTAATCCGATTACAAAGTCTTACAAAGTTTACATCCTCTTTCTTTTTTACAAACTTTTAGAAACAAAAGGTATCAAACATTTGTAAAAAGTATAATTTGAATTTGTAGAGGCAACAATATTTATTATAAATTTTACTAAGTATCTGTAAGTTATCGATTACAAGGACGCTGAGTCTCTTCTCTCTCCTCAGCTTTAAATTTATTATTTTTCTAACTATAAACTTTTTTTATTAAAGAAAATTTGGTTTTTAATAAACTCCTTAAAATAATTAAGGGATCGACAAAAATTATTCAAAATTAGGCAAATTTTAAATAGTTATAATTTTTTTATTTCGGAAAATGAGAATTTAATTCACGAATTTCTTCGTTATTTTTACCTATTTGTAAAAAGTTCACGAGTTAAAAAGAATCAGTCTTTATATCATGCTATGGAACAAAGATTCAGCTTTATAAGAATCCATTCTTAAAATTGCTGTCCGATGATTTTTAACGGAGTTATGAACGATCAAAGTAAAAATGACATTGTCTCTTCAAATTGCGATAATTTGACAAGGAAAGATCGAAATTTAAATTTTAAAAACTATTTTGCAGGGAAAACTTCAGGCTTTAACGTGAAAATGTCAAAAAAATTTTTCAAATTTTCTTATGTGTGCGACGTGTCTACAAAGGGAGAAGAAAATTTTCCATTTTGTTATGCCTGTCGTTTTCTGTAGTAAAAAATATCAGAATTACAGAAAATAAAAAAAAGCTATAATCCTTCGAAAGTAGAGATTTCAAGCTTTGAAACTCTTTTTAAAATTTAAATTATCATAAAAAACCACTCCTCAACGTTTAAAGTCGACCAGACTGGCGACTTTAAACGTTGAGGAGTGGTTTTTTATTAATTATTACTGGCAACCTTAAGGATTATTATTTATTAAATTATCATATTTTGACACAAAATTACAGCTATTTAAAATTTGCTTATTTTTTGGACAATTTTGTTTAATCCCTTAATTATTTTGACAAGTGTATTAGAAATAAACTTGGTAGTAAACTGACTTCTGTTACGCCGCGTTTCAGCGCTTCGAAGGCGAGTCTGCGAGGTCCATCCAAAGTCTTTCCATCATCAGACGGTCCCCAAGAAGCCGAATAAATGTCGACGAGTTCTTGCTTGTAGCTTAGGGCCTCGCCCTCTACCCGATCGTTCATTGGACCATCGAGGAGCTTGATGCAGCCGATGGATGCCCCATAGGCAATTCCGACACCGCATTTTCGGTTGTTGGCTTCCATCGCTATCTCGCCGGCACATCTGGTGCCGTGGCTGTTTTTCCCTGAGGAGCAGTTGAATTTCTGATATGATTGTGAAACAATAATATTCAATTGGGCCAGGAAAATTTGCTAAGGTCCGTTGTGTGCGCGGGGATAAGAATTAAACATGTTCTACAGGGAATACCTACCCAGGAAGTCTCAACATCTGGTTTCGTACCATTACGCATTTACTTCATTTTGAAATATAAAATTCAGCATAAATAATTTTGTTTCAAAGGAAACCGAGGAACCAAAACAGTAGTCAAACATTGATATATATAATAGAAAATTAAAATTATTTGTATTAAATAATTGTTCTCAATTTTTACCATATTTCTCTCTCTAAACTTCTTCATTTCTTCTTGCATAAATCGAGGATATTTCTATTAAATATATTTTCAATAACCAATAATTGTTAATTTTTATTTTATCTGATTAGAATGTGTAGCAATCAAAGTGAGATTACTTACGTATTGCATTAATTTTAGTCTGTAACTGTAATTAATTAAAATATAATTAAACAAAACTATGTTGTAAACATATAAATGTATTGATTTCACGAAATAGTTAGTTTGATCTGCTTTCACGAAAATTGTTATCGGCACGTTAACATTTTTACGAATGTAAATTATTTATTAAATTTTATTAATTGAATTTATATGTAACTGCTATTATTCGAATGACCGAGTTACAAATATCTTATATTTTAACATTTATAGAATACAAATGCAAGATAATATTGACAAAAACATCAATAAAATTGACCATATAAATTATTATTATATCTAAGTTGTTATATATATAAAAGTATTTATATATTTTTAATCTAATCAATAATTTATTTTTTTTTTAAATTTATTTTGCCAGTCTAATTTTAAAAACTGTCACATAAATGCAGATCTAATTCTTTTCAATAATTATTAATATTTAAATATTTTCAGAAAAAACAAATTATAAAATAATGATATATTAATACAAAGTAACATCAAATTAAAAAAATATCGGATATAAGAAGTTGTTTACAGTTAGATAGTGTGAGATAGTCTAATTTGCGCGAATGATGCAAAATTTTTAATATTTTTCTATATATTAAAGCTCTTATCATCGTCGGATAATTTCAACGAGAGCAAAGTTTTCTGCAAGCAAGTTTTAAACTAGTTTTGTGACCTATCGATAGTTTATGGTTTAAATGCATTACCGAATCCGCTGGATGCGCGTTTTCCCCTCGATAGACCGCAATTTACTCGAGAGTTTGACACGTTTACATCACGTAGTTTCTACCATAGTTTGACCGATATATTGTAACGTGAGTGCTATGTGCGACCACACGTGAATGTAATTATAATGACATATCCATATCGTCACGTGTCGTGAGTTATTATGAGCATTTAGATTATCGTAATTTAAAAAATTGTATGTGTGAATATTTTGGTTTACTTGTTATTAAACGGATATATCAAATATGTAATTATGTAAAGATATTATTTTTAAAATTTTGTTGCATAATATATTATTGTATAAAAAATATCATATTATTTAATTATACTACTTATTATATATTATGTATGTATATGGTATATTGTTATAAAAAAATTTAGTATATACTTAAATAGAAATTACCTTACCATCATATCTTGGAAGAGGATCATTGTCATTTTCATTCACATCGTAACTAATGGCCGCATCCTAAATTTAAATATTATAATAATAAAGCTAAGATATAACATATTTAAATAATGCAGTAATAAATATATAATATCTTTTTTATAATGTCTGGCAGAAAAAATTCTTTATCTTTTTTAATGTGTTATATTATAATATTATAAGATTTTTATAAACTTCTTCAGAAGATAAATTTTTATAAATATAATTTTTTATATACATATATTTGTTGGTGTAATACGTATAATTTAAATGCATATATATTGTAGTCATTTATGCATAAAAAATATAATAATGGTCGTATGTAATATAAACGTAAAAATGGAATGTTTTTTAAAATTTAAAATATATATTTGAGGCATGATTCGTCATCTATGAGATGAAGAGAAAGCTCAAAGCAAATATTACGTACGTAATTACTCCGCAGATCATCATGATTGTATTCTAAACCGTCGTCGAGAATTGCAATTCTCACTCCTTGACCAGTTATCTCTTGTCGATAGAGAGGCAGAACGTTTAAGTCGAGCTTCGGCAAACCTTCTTCGGTCTTCGTATCTTGCTATGGCAATTGATAAAAACTTTCAAGAATCTCAACAATATAATAATAACAAAAATATATGTCAAAGTAATTAGTTGTACAAAATAATTTTTTCAAGCTTGATGTATTCAAATAAATAAAATTTTTAAACTGTTTAAACTTGTGTTGAAATGTATAATATTCTATATAAATTATGAATTATATTGTTTAAAATTACATATTTTGAAAATAATTGGAATAATTTTTATATTTGCAGTTTATATTTTTATCTTAAAACAATTTTATTATTTGATTATTGAAATATCTTATTTTGTATAATCTGAAAACGAGAATATTTTATTTATTGAGCGATACTGAGAAAATGTGTAAAGCATTATTACCAGATACCATTGTTGATCCCAAAGCTCATCATTAATATTCTATCGGCAGCATCGTAATTTTCCTCCTCGCTGTTAACAGCATTTGATGCAACTTCGTATGCGTTTAATTGCAAACGCTTTTCTCTCGTTAAAGGTTTTTCAGACTCCAGGTCGGCTAACGAGATGTAATCGCGTTTAAGTCGTTTCACACGGTTTTCTGTTGATCCGCCCAGACGATCTTTCCTTGGCAAATGTGAATTGTGCTAAGAAATTGCATTCTTGTTGCATACTATTGTAATATATTACATGCTATTATAATTGTTATATAGAGATACATATTAAAAAATAACATTTTTATGTAGAGAAACCTGCATTAATATTTTATGTAAGCGCAAGTAATATTAAAAAAAAGTTATAAGAATTGATAATTGTTAAGTTTTTGCAGTTAGAATATTATTTGAGATCATAAAATATGTTCGTGTAAAATATAAGTTACCTTGGAAATTGTATTAAGATCCTTCGTTAAGTGAAGATTTCCTCTTTTCCTCTGTCTTGGGCTATTATCCTTAAGCCATATATATGTTCATTGAATCCAAGAACCTGAATGAAAGATCCATTACATGTAATTTTTTGAAGAAGAGCAGCGATATACGCTGCATATTTAATGAATTTTCAGGCCGAATTAAAATTTTATTTAATTTTTTGCTTAAATAAGTATTAAAGCACCAGTCTTATCCATCCGTTCTATTATCATTTTACAGTTAATCCTTTTTCTCAATGTTCATCAGTATAGATAAAATTAAATGTGTTTATTTTTATATCAACATTTACGTTTTGTAAATTTTATCAATATGCTCTTTTCTTTAATTAATTATATAAGCTTGAGAGAAAGATTTTTATTTAGTGCGATATTATAAATTAAAATTATCATAGATATTATCATGTACCTACACTTATCTATCTTTTAACTAATTAAAATAGAATAAACGTTATACATTAGAAAATAACTGAGAATATTTATTTATTATTAAATTATTATTTAAATTAAAAGTTACTCATTTTAGATAAAAAACTATAATAATAAACTAATATAAATTAAAAAATAATATATAATTGTTGCATGCGATACTTGAATCAATATACTTTGAAATGTTTCGAATGTTGTTTGTTAAGAATATACCATGTCTCTATTTCATGTACATTGCAAGGGGTTAACTACCCTTCGTTGGTTTAGGGTGAGAGTAAACTGGACGTCCGACGTTTGCGCCCTTCGAATGAGCAAAAGGGACGCTATGATCAGGATAGCATACGAAAGCAGTTGTAAATCGAGCGATTCTTTTAGGGGGAACTATCGAAGTCTAAATGGGGGTCTATCGCGCGTGTGTAACGTTATTATTATCCATGGTGTCACGTGGCCGGTTTGCCTTCGTTTTGTACGGCATCCGTATGCAATGTGCTGCATCACATGGCGCAAGTAATAAATATGACAGAGATAGAGTAAGGGGAATCGTGAGAGAAGGGGACCACCTGGTAGGAAACAACGTCATTCGTGCAAGGGGGCAGACTATATTCCGTAACATCAAGCATATACCGTCTATTTCGAGACCTCCTGACTGTCCGACCGGTCTCTCCTGATAATCATCCATGTTAATCTTTTTTTATTGATCCGAGAGTATAATTTGTGCAAAGTAGACATGTTTTCAAATATTAAACCGCATGAAACCGCGCGTAAAAAATTAATCTATATATATATGTTGCAAATTTATTTTTGCGATTAATTCATTGGAAAAATTAAAATCCTAAATATATAAAATTCATAAATGTATTATATAATTTATACATATAAATATAATTGTGTATAATTTATTAATTTTAATATTGTACTTCAAATAATTTTTATGTAAAACATTGTTTAATTATTTTTATAATTTTATTTACTACAGTACAATTTAATATTGAGCTAATGTTTTATATTTGAAATTAATACTTTGTTAAACATTTCATTATATTTATTATTATTGACATTTTTTTAGTGACAGCTTAAGAAATCAGTTAATTGTTGCCAAACAGCATTTTGAATTGTTTTACGTATACATATATTTTAATTGCTATTGGCAATATAATAATTTTTTTATTGTAATTTCCACAAAATAGATATGACATCAAACACGATCAATCTCCACAGTAGGATTTAAGGAAATATTCAGGTCATTGGGATTATAAAACAATAATCGTTTCTGCTATCCTCTTAACCCTATACAACCATGAGCAAAAATCCTTTAATCCACTATCCATCATATCTGTTGTGCATTCGGTTAAAAGAAATAAATTTGATCGTCAAAATGCTTCGCTGAACTCGCTGATAAACTAGTGAATATCCGGCGGGATACACTTTTCAATACAGCGGCGCATAAATGTTGCACGTTTGCGTATCCATGATCACGTATGCCATGCACGCCGCGTTAAGCATTTAGGATTTTACATCACGATCCGTGGATCGATGGGAAACATTTCTCCTTTTTGCAAACTAGGTCTACAAATATATAGGAATTTAATGTCAAATAAATACGGGCAGATAAAATTTGTTGGAAAGATCTGCTAAATCTTGGCTTTTGCCAAGTAATTTAATTAAATAAGGAAAAATGTATTGTATAATTATAATGTAAATCAGTTATATTAATAAGAAGTTATGTAATTGTGGTTTTTAATTCGTCTCTTATATACAATTAATGTTTGTTCAATTTCTAAATTTATAAAAAAAATCAGTATGTTTCAATTTAGCACTTGTTACCAATTATCTCTAGAGTTAATTTTCTGTGTAAGATATCATATATATGTGTATATGCGTGTGTGTTGTAAATGGATTTTGAGATAAAAACTTTTAAAGCAACTAATTAGATTTCGAAGTTACTTCAACTTCGTAGGTACGTGAATGGAGTTAATTCGAGAAATCTCGCGGTCCAAGACAATTTTCGCAAACTTTTTCAACTGTAACATTCTCAAAGAAGGGATTCTTAATTAGCACGCGTATGTGAATGCGTTTTCTTTTTAACAAGCGGCAACTTCAAACAAAATCGCCGCTTTTAACGTAAAATTGTGCCCGACGGATAGATGCTTTCTAGGTGTCACGCGAGTGCTTAAATTGCACGTGAAAACGTTTCAAACTCGAATTCGTCGACTACGTGATAATGGCTCTCTCCCTTTGGCCCCCTTCGGTCGTAATCGGTAAGCCACTTTCGACAGTGGTCGAAGAGATGCACACTGGGAGAGCTGCACGAACGTGTACGTGAGAGAAGCGCGAAGGGAAAATCGGAGACGGTCATTACTTCGCAATCAGCGAGCGACAAGGCAAATATTACAGTTATTGCCAAGTATTACCATGATATTACTATGATATCGCAGTATTAATCCGATGTACGTGAAATGCAGTAACATATTACGCCAGGAATATGTATGCAGTTTTTTTTATATTATATAAGTAACTCAAGATTCTCTCCATTTTTATAAAATACAAAAATTCAAATATACAATAAGATATATTTCAGAAACTGTACGAAATAAATGCGCAGTGTTAGTTTCTATTAAATTTGGAGAGTCGTAATTATTTGCCATAAAAATGAAAAAAGATCATAGTCCGAAATAAAATAAGTAATTAATATTTTTTAATATTTATTTTAAATATATATAATAAAAATTTGATATACGTCTAATAATCCACGTCGACAGTTTTGCTAAAAAAAGATTTACTCTTCACGAGAAATATCTTTACACATCTTTTGCTGGATAGGCCAATGCTCTGCATAAAAAAAGAATATTATTGCTAAAAATGAATTATTAGTTTATTAGCAAATATGATTTATTTGTTTATTAATTTTGTAGGGTTGCATTATATCGCATCCTGTTATCACTCGACTAATATTCGCTGACTAGCGAAGTTTCGCTCAATTGCATCTTGCCTGACTTCCTCGCCATTTAACGATTCCTCGATACGAACTCTCGGAAAAGGATTATGCTACCCTTGCCGCGTCCTATATACATTTCCTATCCAATCGTCTTAAGTTCGCGCGAAGACATTTCGGAACTCTAGTATCATCACCATCGACCGTAGTATTTCACACGAATGTACGAGTATATATACTAATGGAAAATGTCTTTGTACGCGTAGAGGGAAGAACAGATAGAGGCGAAAAATCAGAGCCGGTTATTACTTCGCGATCAGCGGGCGATTCGTCTTATCGGTATTCAGATTGCGTCTTCCGACTGCTATGAAGGGACGACACCTCGTGTTCGGTATAGATACAGGAAAATCTGTGGTAGTCCAAGTCGCTTGCAACCCCCTTTGGGCGAAATGGCAAGCGTGGGTAAAGATGAGAGAAATGTAGAGAGAGAGGAGAGAGAGAGAGAGAGAGAGACGAAGTATTTTCGCAGTCCATTTGTTTTGATCGGATTTCCAACTGTCTCTCGTAATCCCGCACCCGTAAGCTCCCGCAGGCGTCGTCAGTTTCCAATGAAAACCCTAACGTCTCTATCCTCTTCTCCCCTTCATCTGGCCATGCAACCCTCGTCGATGTTTCCCGAGCACACCTTCGTCTCTTGGATTCCTGCGAGCATTCTCCGCGTTCTCCGTTCTGTACTTTACGTACGTGAGTGTGTGCACGCGTATATACATTTGTACACAATGTCCTACCTGTCGTGTGCTCTCTCTCAAATTTTTTGTAAACCGTTTCTTAGGAATCTATGAAGCACATTACAGTTGACTTTTTTCTTAACATCGAAATATCGAGATAAATTATTAATTAAAATAAAGAGTACTGTAGACTAAGAATTCAATTTTGAAGATGCAAGTACAAAAGTTGTGATTATTATTTGTTTGTAAACTTTATTCTGCATTTTATTTTGAGTCTACTCTAATTAAATATATTTGATCTTTTCTCATCTTATTGTTAGTACAATGAATCCCATAAGTGATATGCAATTATGTTGAAGTATACAATTTGTTAATAATATATACATGTTTATGCATATAACACAAGAGAAAATTTATAAGCTGATTTATTAATTATTTTTGACGATATTACTTTAAGGCTTGAAGATTTTAAATTTTCATTATAATTATTAGATAGTAATATGTGAAAATTTTTGTTTTACCAGCTAAACATATGATAAGTAGCGGCCCATGACATTCTGATATATGTACATGTTACTTAGGATTACGCGATGTCTGGCACTTGTGGGCTGCAAATTCAATTACATGCATTGAATTTAGCAGATGGTAGAAGTTTCCGCTGCTCTGTGTGTACAAGTTCACGTGTAAACTGGCAAAACTCATACTTTAGGCAAGTGCTTATGTGCGCAAGCGTGATGAGATATAGGAATAAACACCTAAATTGATAATGTTATTGTAAGCTAAGTTATGTCATGCAAACAGATCACATTTTTTGCTATAATTTTAATTTTTATATTTGGAAAGAAATTTGTACACGCGAGAATAATAAAAAATAACTTAAGATTACTTTGATTTACTTGCAATTTGTTAGAAGGTGATAAATCTGTAGCTATTGATTCTAAATTATTTAAATATATTTAAATTTTATTTTTAT